CAGAGACCCACACTCATGGAGGTGTAGCCCTGTACAGCTGAAGAGCAGGTGGTCCCACGGCACAAATCCGAACACTGCAGCATGGGCCAGCTGCTGGGATGGGGCAGAAGGGTACGTGTGATGCTGCACAGCCTGTGAGCAAACAGCACAATGGACATACGAGAACCGATTTCACAAGAATTACAGAAACCAGCTTAATACACACTTGTAAGGCTACAAAGACAAATAAAACATGAAACAATTTCCTGTCCTTTTATCGATACCTAGCAAAGGGTAGGAATTACGTGAGGCACTGTGTTTTCATCTCTGATTATTAATAACAACTCTGTCAAGTCTCTTCTCTGAAAACAGTGGAATAATTTGAAAAAGAGCATAATGTGACAGAAAGATGGAATGAGGTAGTCTAAAAATGAACATGCTAAGTAATTTTTAGAACTATGCTACCACTGCAAATCTAGTCGATAAGGAAAATTTCAAATGTTAAGACAGCAATTAGACATTAAATATATCCAGGGAAAGTCTTGTGATTTCTTTTTCCCTCAAGACAAGACAGATTTGGAAATCAGGATGAAAAGAATGATATTATGTATCACACAGTGATAACTTGACCAAACAGTAATTTTCTGTTCCTTAAATATGGCAGAAACAAGCAGATGTCCTTGTTATTATAACTTTGTTTCTGAGAACAAGAACTTTGTCATCTGAACAAGCACTGTACTATACAGTTTTGTAATGCAAATTCCTGTGAACAGCAGATGTTTATTTACCCCCTGCCCCTTGATTTCTCCTTGGAAACCAACTGCTGGGCTTAGGCTCAAGATCCTGAAAGACATACTTGCATTTCCATTCCTTTTGACCACTGGACTAGGGAAGGCAATTCCTTAACAGCATTTAGCAAACAACTTGGCTGTAAACTGCTACTATATCCTATTCCTAACAACCTACAATTCCTAAACTTACTACTGCTTTAAAGAAACAATGATTTCTATATTTCAGGTTTAGGAGGAAGAAGGTCTACATCTTTCAAACTGGTCAATCTCTGTTTCATTCCTACCAAACTTGGTATTTGGCAAAAATGCATAATTATTTCAAGAGTTATTAGTGTCTACATTGCATTTGGATAAGAGGTTACAGCAGCTGATTCCAGATTCCTAATGCCTATCTGAAAAACCCTGAGTTAAGACAAACTTCAAGAAACACTCATACCCTAAATATTAGCATCATTGTTTTAATGCTTCTATGGTCAGAATATTTTATGTGAAAAATAGGCTGATTTCGAGAATTTAAAAATTTTTTTCAATATTGTTTTTTATAAAATGTGTTCAATAAATAACCTTTAACCAAGCAATGGTAACCCAACAGCTGCCATGGGACAAGTACCATGTGGTCCATAATCCTTTAACCATGCTGCTTTTTTATCTTCCCAAGAGATAGGGAGGGAAGGGAGCCCAGAAAACCAACAAAAAAATCCAGTGTTCAGTTCTCAAATCCAGCCTGAGTTGAGCAGAACTTTTCAAAGACTAACCACAGATGACTCGAAGGCTGGATAATTTTCAAGTAACAGCACACCTGGGACTACAGATTTTCTAGTGGCTTTTGATGTCTCTCAATTGACTCTCTTAAGATGATTCTTTTTGTCATTTGACAAATGTAGTAGTTTCCTCAAAGTGCTCAGAGGAACAGAGGGTAAGCACCCTAGTCTATCACACCTATGGTATAGAGCAAATCAATACATGAGAAAGAAGCAGCAAGAGAAGAATATTATGTGCTATCATTATCTTGCATTACCTGGCAAGAAGTTATCTTTAAGATTTAAAGTACAGGACTATTCTCATACAGTGCTGTTCTCCAGAGTGACTACAGGAAAGGCTTTGTTTTATACAATAGATCCTTCTCTGAATGCGCTCCACATCATTCCTGTTAATATCAAATGATAAACCAGGCATTTTCAATTTCAGCTGTCAGCTCTAGGAAGCATATATTGCTCAGAGACAGGCACTGGATGTACACTAGCACTGCTTACTAGATCTGCAAAAAAGGCTAGTTGTAATTGCACCAAAGGCAGGTAAAATCCACTTTGTTGTGAAGACTGTGCTAAAATCATACAACCAGAAAGGAGCACCAATGGGAAGAGTCTGGTCAAGCATCACATGGTCAGCAACATTTTCTTGTCACTTAGCTTCTGTTAGTAGAGCAACCAGAAGCAAGGCTTCATTTGAAGACTTGTTTGCAAAGTTATTTTCAGACTACAACTTTGCATGCAGATCCCCAACAAGACTTTGTATCCCTTGCCTGAAGAAAAGGGTCCCCAACTCTCTCCATGGACATGAAATTAGGACGTATGTGTCCACTGTTTCACACACAGAACAGTTTTATAACATCCCACTGACTTGCCTGGCTCTCAGTCACATATCCATTTGCCCTCACCGAGATGAGGCCCTGGAAACTGAAACCATGAACATGAGAGAAACAGTGGGATGACTCAAATGTTCACTATTAGGCTGCGTCCAACAGGAACTTATCTACCATTTTTTTTAGAAAGATGGAACAAAACCATGCCCTATTATTAGGTCTTGAGAGTGAACTTATCCTAGGAAACTTGCTGTCAGCTGTGGCTTGCAGAAAGATGCTATGTATTTTATTCTCTATAGCTACATATATATGTGTATAACAATATATTGACACAATAACAGAGCAAATCATAAACATAAAAAGTGATTCAATGTTTACTTTCTAGAGGTACTTTTACTTGATGTGATTTGTTACTGTAGCAGCACTGAAGGTAGCTAATGGGGGAACAACTACATCAAAAGGACTCTAATGATGAAAGACTCGTTTCCTCCCAAGCCCCAGGGTTTTTTTCACAAGTCCTTAGACCCTTTCCTTTCTACACTAGAGGAATATTTTTGAACTCTCAATATAAGACATAGATTGGGGGCAACCAGAGAGAGCAAGCCAAGCAGTTATCAAATTATGGTAAATGTGGGACCCAACGTCTAACCCTCCGCCCTGTTTTTTGATTTTTTCTGGATAGTTGACCCCATCCTTCATGACTAATCATTTCTTGGAACTGGCATGAATTTAACATATCAAGACAATAGCAAGCAAAGAGCTGTTGTTAAAAACAAAAGCAAGTCTTCAGATTAGCCCATTACAGAGGAGTCTGCCTTTCATATTTCCTGATTTACCTCCATATCCCAGAATGGGTAACATTCAGTGTAGATGAAATGCCTTGACTTGAAATGTGAGAGATGATGGCCCATCCACAGTAGGAATGACTGAAACCTGCTGTCAGCCTTCTTATTAAAATGTCAGGAACGGGGACCATAAATCCTTCAAGGAGAGAAAATATGGTACCATAGAAATGACATGACATATAAAAAACTACCCAAAGTAGTTCCAAAACATTTCCAGGAGTGATGTCTTTAGCTGGGATCACATTACTAAGGAAGACATATATAATTTCATAGCTGGTGTAGAGCAGCCCTGTCGGAGACTGAAACAGTTAATGATTTACATGGTCTGAGATCACCAAAAGACTTTTGCAAACTGAAAAGAAGCAGCTGCTCACCCAGCAAAGCCTACCCCTCGCTGAATATTGCCAAAGGACCTTCAGATCAGATAAGTGGGTGCCACTGTCTAGCTATTCTTGGTGCAGATGCCTGCCTGAGGAAGGGAAGAGGCTAAGAAGAGGCAAGTCCTGCAAGGTGGCGCCAACGTCCTCATCTAGCCTGGGCTATGCATCTCAAATGTTTGACTGTGACACTATCCATTGTAGTGTCACAGGGAGGTACAAGGTGTTCCCACCTGACCTGGAAGTGTATAATAACTCATAACATCTTTAATACTGTGTGTGGGGCTTCCCCAGCCCCAATGGACCAAGACCACCACTTCAACCAACAGACATAGAAGCTGCAGCTACCAAGTTTCATCGCTGGATGCCGTGGGCAGTGACTATATACTTCTTTCCACCCTTATCCTTCCTCTCCCTTTCTCTCCCTTATGCATTTCCTTAAGTGTTACCTTTATGCTTTACTGCTATAGATGCTGGGCTTTAACAATGCTTTATTGCCATAGATGCTTTAATACTACTATTATGCTTTAATAGTGCTATATTGCTGTGCTTTATCTACAGATGCTTTAGTATTAACAATGCCATGTTGCTATAGATGCTCTAACACTGCCATGCTCCAATGCTGCTGTACTGCTATGTTCTAATATTGTTTTATTGTTATAGATGCTTTAATATTACTATGCTTTTAATAGTGCTATATTGCTGTATAGATGATAACATATGTACAGATGCTGTTTTGCTGTAGAAGGATAACACCCCAAATGGCACCATACCTGTTTACCTTTGAAACAAAACTGTTCTAAAATAAACCCTACATATATAGGTTTACAAACACAGATTATTCAGTGTTGCTTCACTCTAATCCACCCCAAGGGATTTATTAATAAGAACCTGTGTTACCCTCCCCTTTCTGGGGCGGGTTGCAAGAAGCCCTGGCACCCAGTACACACTGTATTGCCATGCTAGCCGCAGCCAACTTCTCTTGAGCTGCCTGCAATTTCCCAACTTTGCTTTTTGATAGCAATTTTTCTAATAACCAGAAATTAGCCTTATTTTTGCTCACCTTTGTACAGTACAATAATAGTTTTAGGCAGATATTCTTCTGTAGAAGACATGGTATGATAGGAGAGACCTTGGAAAGTGTGGACAGAGGAGGTGGTCTAGAGAAGCGAAGGCGTGCGACAGTGAGAGACAGGTGGTAGGTTGGCATGGGAGGCTCCGGCATTATATACAACTCACTGATGCTCTGTTGAAGAAATGCAGACTCAGAGCTGAGCAAAACCTCATTTAGAGGTAAAAAGAGAGCAGAGAACAAGCATCCAACTTTTGTCAAATACAACATATATAGGAAATTCTGTTGCACCATGAACTAATCAGTAAAGATTAAGCAAGGAGTATGACACATTAGCAAACACAGAAATATTACCTCAAGAGGCTCCTAAGAAGAGAAGGGAGAAATCAACAACGTATTCGTCAGAGCTAAAGATTTGATCTGCATGATTCCCTCTTCTTTATGAAACCTTCAATGCTAGGACCCCAAAGGACATTGGAAGACTAAGCATAGTAGCAGAAAAAGTAGCAGATACTAGGAAGTATGTGTATGACAAGTCTATATTATTATACTTTTTCTTTAAAGTACTTCTCCTTTTTCCATAATAACTTCATATGGAGTAATTAAATATTATTTAATTAGGCTGTTAAGATTCGATTTGGACTTATATTCTTGACATTACACATAACACGTTTCTTCTTTTGCCCTTAATAAAAATGATATGTAGATACAGTTATGCTTACAGAGACCCTTCCATGCTAGCATTTTGCATAATTGATATGTGTTATTCAAAACAATAATAATTTTCTTTGTTCCCCCATCCAAATTTAAAACCAAACCAAAACCAGTCAACCGTGTGATTTGTCTTTCCTGGTACAGTTTCTGTAAGTGCATTGATATTTAGCAGTAGATTGAATGTTTACACTCTTTTGCTTCCTACCTTTGCCAAAACTGAGTTAATTCGTTCTTGTGTAGAGCCTGTAGTGTGACTTAAGCTGTAATAAAAAGTGAGCAGAATATTTTCTAAATGTTGCTTTCTGTGTGACAGAACTCAATATTTTTCTAATTATCAGTCCAATATCTTAAAGATACTTAAATGATTAACAGTAAACTGCTTTTGAAGTGTCATATTGCAATTCACATTGCTGGCTTTCATTGCCATTTTACTGAACTCCAACACTTTCAGTGTCAAAGAAGTTCACAGGAACGCACAAAGAATTGTCCTGCTTTCGTGAAAGAAGCAACTTTACTCAAGTCATCATGCCTTTCTAAATCTGAAAATGAGTACCTTGCATGCCGTCTGGAAGCGAGGCAACATGAGGTTCTGATGATCTAAGGCAAATTTTGGGGAGCCCTGTTCACTGAATGTTTATCAATAGGTTTTCTGTGTCACAATGGAGACCTGTCTGGCACTAATCCAGGCTGAGTATCAAGTGCAAGTGCAAGTGAAATATTCAGTTCTGCTGTAGCAATTTTGCAATCTTCGGTGTATGAATATATATGTACCTAATGGATAAAGAAAATAATTCGATATTTCTGACTCTACACTGAAGCAGAGGAACGTATCTGAGACAGAGACATTTAAAATTTCATACACTGTCTGTGCCTTTTCCCTTTATAACTGTAAAGGCAATTTAAATGTCACGTTCTCCACACTTACTGTTATTACAGTAGTCTCCTTCATGAAAACACATAACTTAATCAAGAAAATATTGTATTTCAAGGACATTGAGGGGAAAAAATGCTTACCCTGTTACAGAGGTTTTCCTTGAAGACACCTCTTAATAAATTTTGACTTGGAACATTTGTCTTCTCAGTTCTTCAGAATGACTTGTGCTTTACTTGTTTAACTGTATTATGATAAATTGAGACATGGGATTAGCTTCCTATTAGAATGGCATTATATTATTTGACTATTCATTATATTCATTTGCCTATTATTCACCTATTGTAAAGGGTCCAGCCCTGAATGCCCCAACTGCAGGAGTATTGCAAGGAAGGGTGAGACAACTTTAATGGGACACACTTCTGTAAAATAGCAAATAGGTTTGGGGAATTAATTCAGAACTCTGGCTAATGCTAGATTTAGGTGGTTAGACTTTAATTAAAACTTTTGCCACTATTTGTCTTTTCTTGAAGTAATGAGTCCTGGTATGTTACAATACTCCAAACCACTACAGTCTCTCTTGGGTGTATTTGGAAGTGACCAAACAAGAACTGACAATAATGAAATCAGCAAATCAGCCCTTACGAAATGTTGACATAATTTTTAGTCAAAGATGCAAGATGAAGTAAGAGAGCATTACAAAGCCCTCACAAGAAGGATATATGAAGCATTTGTAGAAAGAAGGAAATGAGAGAGCAGCAGTATATTCTCAAGGTGCTGGAAAGAGCAGAGGCAAGGTGTTTTATTTTTATGACTTTTTGGGAGTATTGCTAAATTCTAACTCTGTTTCACTTTATACAGTTCCAATTATACTGCGTCACCACACTGAGCAACAATGGGGACTTCTGCTGCCTGGCCTCATCAATATTGAGTTGCCTCTGAGGCTTTCACAGACAATTTGTCACCTACAAACTAAACACGTTCCAGAATGGAGCTACCTCCTTTGGGCTTAAGAAAAAAACCAAAACCAAACAAAAACCAACCAGTTATCTTGTGCCTGAGCAACATGTTTGAGTAGTTCAGAGTTTGCAGTTGAAGAATGTACATATGGGAAGCAGATTTTATCTGTATCAAGAAGCACACATAGACAGCAGGTTAACTGGAGTAGGTAGTTGCTGCAAAACAGGCCTGAGTGACATAATGGTGCCCTTCAAGGGCACCATTTTGGCCATTGGAAAACCAATGGCCAAAAAAGCATCAGTACTGCACTTCTCAATTAACTACCTATCTGATACAAGGGTCGCAGTGAGATTGATTGTCTCATTTCAGCTAAGTCCTCTGAAAATCCCTAAATGCACAGGAAGTATCTCTTCATCATTAGACTCCACTAGGTTAGTTGTGAACTCCTTCATACCTATAATTTGAAGACATGCTGTAAGTGCCTGATCTGTAAAGAGAAATGGAGATGTGTGGTTAGTAGAGCACTCTGCAGAAATGTGTTGCTTTTTTACCTATGAACAGCTTTTGACATCTTACCTGTTGAAAAGAAGCAGAGGTCCTCAAATGCTTTTTAAAATGAAAGCCACCCCCACCTGCCCAACCCCCAAAATACAGTTGTAAGCAAAAGGAGCTATTTTAACATCCATCTGTAAAATTTGCTCCCAAAAAAGTCTTCAGTGCCATGGGAGTTTTCAAACTACATTTTAACTAAATAATTTTTCCTGAAGCTAAATATATTCCAGTCTCCTGTGATGAAAAACAGTGGCAGACCAGGCAAGGTTTCTGAACACAGATGCATTTAAGTTCCAGAAAACTTTACTGAAGCATTCAAAATACAATTTTAAGGAGTTCTCATCAATTTAATAAGCATGTCTATATCAAAGCAAATAATAATGCAGTCCTTACATTATGTAAATGCTTTGTATACTTAATTTTAGGGCTTAAATTCTACATATTTGAACTTCAAAAATTCATAAACCTACCCACTGGCATTTAGGTTTGGAAAATAAATTGTTGAGAATCTCAAGATCACAGGAGAAAAGGAAGCTTACTATCAAAAACATACAGAGCTGAGTGAACTTCCAGAAAATATTTCTCATCCTCTCATTGTGGCCAACAAAATCAATAGAAGAATGAAGAGACAACTTTGTTTTGGTGAAATGTGGAGCACATAGCACAGGAAAAATTGATAAGTGTAGATGGCACACATGGGTATAACTTATTTTCTTGTTCTAGATCTGAAGCTCATTGAGAGCTGCTGGAAATTCTAACCTGGTCCCGGGTAAACGGACTTAAATGCCCAGTTATCTGGATGTCATGATCCAGGCAGTTGTGTTCAGCACAAGAATTCTGAGCACAATTTCTGAGCAGCATAATGGGGTGAAGACAGGCAGGAAATGTTAATGAGAGCACACCCTTCCCCTGCAGTTACCACCCTTGCTCCTTGTGAGTGCAGACCTGGCAGTTCATTGCCCTGATCGAGCCCCTCTTCTCTCAAAACATCCCCAGGTGCTGCCTCTCACATATGACCAGGTTAGCTGTGGTCTTCAATGTGTCTTTAGAAATAGGGACTTCTCCTTAATTTTATGCTTTGCCAGAGCCAGATTACCTTTGAGGTGATCCATGCAACTCAGAAACTATCACTGATTTTCTAAATCCTGTAAGTAACAACCAAACAAGCCATACTACTGTTCCCTTAGGTATTGGCAGCCTAAAGGATCAGCAGCACCTTCCTCTCTGCTCCACATTTCTGTCCCTGATATCAGAGTGTGTGCTTGGCCCAGGCGTCCAGTCTCTCAGAGCAATTCAGAGATGTGGACAAGTAGGACAAGTAACCAGAAGCTGGTTCTCATGCACTGCACAAGAACACAAGCTTCACAGGATCCCCAAGACCTGAGCTCACCGACTGAGAACAAGTGGTTCGTTTATGTCTAACCACTGGCAAATTAAACACCACAGCAAAAAGAGGCCAACAGAAGGAGAAAGAGAAGGAAAGTTGCATGAAATACTATCAGAAATCAAACCTACATCTCCCTTCATAAAGGAGTTTGCTTGCTTCAGTTCGTGCTTGGGTGACTTCCCATTTTCAAAAATGAATGATGAAGTAAGCAGGTACCCCCTTCAGCTTTTATGGTTCAAACACTGGGGCACTGGGAGTATTTTACTCCTTCCCCTCTTTTTCCCCAGCCAGTGTTTAGGCCAAGACAATGACAATTATCTTTTTCTTTCCTTTTTTTTTTTTTCCCCTTTTTTCTTTTTCTTTTTCTTTTTTTTCCCCTGGAGTCAAACTAACAGATGAATCTGTACAAAAGGAGAAAGGTAGTCAGCCAGAGATATAGCCTGGGCTCTGTTTTGTGGGTGAAATCAGAAATATGGAGACTTAAGCCTATCAATATATTTTCAGAGACTTGTATAATGATAACAATTGAGAGCTTTTATAGCTACACAAATCTGTTCAACACCACTTCAGTGATATTTCAGGAGGGAATTGGGCAAAAAGCTTTTTACAGAGGTTTAGGGAAGTTCTGTCATGCCTGATCTATTAGATACTGCTTTAAGTATTGCAACGGCACCTCTGTGCCTACAGTAGAAGAGGGAGGGCTATCAGGGAAACCTAAAAGTTGAAAAAGAAATGACAGCAATTCTTCTGAGGCAGCCAAAAGCTCCTCCCCAAAAGAACACTCTTGATGCTAGTGTAGGATAAGGAAACCAGACACGGCAAGAAACAGAGCTGGGAGATTCAAGAGATTCAAACCATGGAAAAAAATATTCTCTAAAACAGAAGAAAGTTCCTTTCTCAAAGCGACAAATTCATGTTTATATTAAAAAAAAGAGAAATAAATCATGAGTTCAAAACAGAACCTAATTATTCCAGCCACCAGCACAGAGCTGAGGACTTAGAGACCCTAAACAAAACAGAGTAGCATGTTTTATTTATAAGAAAGCCATACTAAGATTGTTCATTACTTTCCCTCCTGAGTTGTTATGAGAAGGCTAAAATTTAATTCACACTGCGTATATTTGTAATGCATACTGGAATTAAGAAATTTTACAGAAAACAGTTTACAATTTTTAAAACATTGCTTTTCGTTGGACACACCAAGGGTTTCAGCTAATTTGCATATATACATAGGCAGAATTTATTTAAAATGTATATCTTTCTCTATTTGCCTTTCCTTTTTTTCTTTCCTTGCTATTGTCTTAGAAATGGCTTGAGCTCAGTGATACTAAAGCATTATAGGGTTGGGGAGGGCATCCTTGGTCTCATTCTGGTCTTCACCTTTCTTCTCTCTTGAGTGAGAGTACGGATGGGCTGACCTTTAGGATGACTCAGCTTCAACATCACCCGGCAGGCAGTTGCCCATTTAGGTTTGTACCTGCTTATCCCAGTCCTTCTGCTTCCTGAATTAAACACTGCTTAGGTCAAAAATAAACTGTCTGACCAGCCAATGACCTTGCTTAGATCCCAGTTTAGCTTTTGAATTGCTAATATCCTTCTACACAAAATATGCCCCTTAAGAGGTGTCAGGTCATTTACTGGTCTTTGTCCCTACATATATTCCCAGACAAGGTGACAGCTGCACAGCAAGCACATCAGTTCTCTGGTTATTATTTATGCTCAGCGTGGAAAAATTATCCAGAAATTGCCACTGGTACTGTTTTTGACCTGTGCTCTCTCCCTGTGCTTCCCTTCTACTTTACCAAGTATGTTTAATGGATTAGCAATAACATCAAGAGAGAAAAAGCCCAATAAAACAGTAAAAACAAGAACCAAGAAAACCCTGCTTGTCTGGGCCAAATAGTTGAGATTTGTTTATTGCTGTGCCCTTCCAGTGTTCAACCTGAAGGTACTGAGATGATGCCACCAAGGGGTTTAATTCCCAGTAAAAGTCTGCTTAGTTTGAGTTGTCCACATTAATTTTAAAAGCACACTGCCAATAGCTATTATACCAGCTACAAACCTGAAGAAAACTAGCTGAAACACAATGCACTTGGAGCAGTGAATAAGGTAGGAACCTGAAAATGTGTTATAGATGAGAGAAAGAAAGAGCCTTTGGAGTCTGGAAAAGTAACAGAGACATCACTTCTGCTTTTAGCTTGCCCAGGCAAAAACCCCAACTCGAAATAAAATAATCAAGAGTAAATGCTTTGTAGACAGGATGACTTGGAAAAAAGTAAGACCAAGTTACTTCCTTTTTTGCTCTCCTGACATAAAATTTTACATATCCCAAATGTTGGAAAATGTCCTGGCACCAAGAGAAATTGCTGTTTCCTGAAAAAGCAAATATACATTTTTGAGCAAGGTCTAATTATTTTAAAAAAAGGATAAATACTTGCTAAGATTGTGACTTCTTTTTGGGTTGTAATTTTTCATGCATTCTGATCACACAGCTGTTGTTATAAATTAAATATCCACCCCAAATTCTATTCTCTATACTTATTCCAAATATTTGGTAGCACTTCTTTGACTTTCTTAACTTTCTGGATGGTGAAAAATTAACAATCTGGGGTTTTTTATTTTTTTAAGTAATTTAGATACTTCCTGTTTAATGGCCATTGCCAAGGTGTACTTGGAAAGAAGTTTTTCATTGATATTGGATGACTGTAAATGTGAGAGAGAAAATAAGAGCAAAACCAAGAAAAAAATCACAAACTACCCTGTCGGATAACAAAAAAAGTCACAGGCTTCTGAATACTGGTAACTGATATAGAGAATATGAACCACAAAAGAATTTTCTACTGCAATCTTGAAGATAAAAAGTCAAAGCACTTGGCTGAAACAGAAGATAATTAGACTTTTTAACAGATAACTGAAGTAGCTTTTGATTTCAGTTTTTCTTCCAGAGAACAGAAGGTCACAGCTGGGTTTAGGAGGAGATAAACAAGCTGAGTGTACCTACAGAATACTGGTATCCTCATCTGGTATTGCCAAGGATATCTGAGATCTACTCTGAAGGAGATTTGCCCAAGGAAGACAATCCAGGCTTTCTGTTTCCTTCACATTTTCCAAAAGAATACACTAAATGGGTAAAAGTATTCCTAAAATTAGGAATTACAAGCCAAACTGTTTTAAAAGAAAGTTGCAAAGAAGCAAATGCAGGTTGCACCCAGAAACTAGTACAGGAAAATACTAGCTGGATCCCAACAGCAGAATATTCCTCTCAAACTCCCCAGTTTTATAGACTACCAGCAGCCTTGTGTGTTGCACACTTGCTGTCCTGAGTGGCTCAGTTGCACACAGGGGTTCCAGAGCACCTATTTGACATAGCTTTGGTTTAATCTCCCAGGCACAGAGGGAGTTTTTCCTCAACATTTCTAACAAGGGGAACCAGCATTTCAGATATTGCTTTCATTTATGCGTTACAATTATCCCAGAGCATTTTTTTTCTGTCCCTTAGATGAAGGAACCAATCTTTTCTTATTTTGCATCACGTCTTTGTTTCTCCTCAAGCTCCTGACACATTCCTCCTGCATTTTCATGCACAGATAGTAATACAGCTTGAGTAGTCTATTTTGTCAGGGGAAGGAAGAGGGAAATAAACTTAATTTTTCATTAGGTAAAACAGAGCAAGTTG